GTGTTGGCAGATTCTGTGTTCTCCCGATGCCTCTCTATTTGTCCTTGTCCAGTGTGGCCGCACTCAGGGTAGGCAACCAAAGTTTCACGCTATGGTTGGAAGAGAACAAAATGATCAGAACGACTCGGGGTTCGAGCCCAATGACCATGTTAAAGAAACCCGCAGCATCACAAAGCTCTCATCAGCATGGACATTTTTGAAGAAAGACCACGGCAACATTTAACGCACTGATGGGTGGCCGCATCTCTGGGGGACTGCTCGGTATGAAGGCGGGATCGTCATTTTGAGGATCCAGAGCTTTGTTTAAGCAACTCAAAACGAGAGTGCAGAATTCAAATCTAGTGTACGAATCTGAGCCGACTAAATACCTCCTTGGATCTACATATAAGCAACGATCAAAGAAGAGGAATTTGCTGGATGGTGACCCGGAGCTTTCCTGTTGCAATCCGGTGGCCACTGGCCATACTCAGCTGCTTAAATTTAAATCAGTTAACATGAAATAAAGTAAAAAAACAAAAGAAAACAAACCCCCCAAGAACCCAGTTCAGGGGCACTAGCCCCATTGCTGGTCGATTTGGTTATCAAGCGTGTGGACACGAACTTGGAGATTCTATGGTTTTCTCTCTCTGAGGTTGAGATGTTTCTTTGACTTCCTCGCTTGTGTGAGTCTGGGTGGTAAAAGACACTGCCCAGAGGCTTTGGATAGAAATAACTGAAAGAAGAAAAGGAATCGGCCTTTTAAAAAACTCACTGTGTTGGGTTTCAAATGTATTTCGCGTTTGTTATTGGAACTTATTTGGTGTTAACCAAACAACAAGAGAGGCTCCTTCACCTTTTATCACTTTCCTGGTGCATTAATACCTTTTGGGGGATGTCGCCTCTCAATCTCTTGTAACCTCTGCTTCTGGAATACACTTCAGAAACTCAGGAGGCCCGGGTTAGAGGAGAGGAAGTCAAAGGCAGGATCAAAGGGGCAAACAGCTCGGGGCTCCGGGTGGGAGTGGAGCCATCAACTCTCCTTTTCCTGGTTCTCTGGTCAATAAACACCCAGCTCGGAGCGTGGGCCAGGTCTCAGCACAGGTCACAGGTCGGACGCCCGACTTGAACAACAAAGCCGGGAAGAGGGTACTTAGCACTTGGTGAGGAAAGGCAGGTGTCTGTAATGTTTGGGGGAGCCGGGGGCGGGGGGGGGGGGGACGGGAGCCCTGCTGGGAAATGTCAAGGATGCAGAGCAGGACCGTCACCCCGAGTGGCTCCCGCCTCCCCACTGGGGCTGCTCCAAAAAATGATACTTTTTTTTTTTTTTTAAGCTTGTTGCTTTTTCTACCAAGTCCCTACTGGCCTTCCCGCAGGATACAGGGTGTGTCTCTCTGAGGACTGTCTTCTGGGTCACCTGCTCTCCCTTTCTATCTGTTTCACCAGATGTTACCAACAGAACAAATGCAAATAAGGACCAAAGCCCTGAGCAAGTCAGGTGGTGAGTGAGCGGAGCCCAGGTGTGGACAAGAGTTGCTGATCTCAGTGACCCTTGCCTTCGGCTAACCCTGAACTTCAGCGTGGATTCTGAAACTGGTAACCTGACTAGCTTTGGTACAGGAAAGTACCTTCTGGAGCCTATTAAAAATGTACTTAGCAGGGGCACCTGGGTGGCTCAGATGGTTAAGCGTCTGCCTTCGGCTCAGGTCGTGATCCCGGGGTCCTGGGACCGAGCACCGCATCGGGCTCCCTGCTCAGCGGAGAGCTTGCTTCTCCCTCTCCCTCTGCCGCTCTCTCCGTGCTCATTCTCTCTCTATCAAAAAAAAAAAAAAATACATTTCTTAAAAGCACTTAAATTTCACAGATTGTGTATTTTGGGAAAATAACTTGCCATAATTATTTTTTAAGCTCTTGTCAAGGATCAGGCTCTTTCCGTTTTCCATTTGAGGAAACAGGTATAGAAGAATTCACAAAAATATTTGCTGTAGGCTTGCAGCAGGGTAACGGAGTAAGGCATCCAGAACTTGGGTTTTGTGGAAACCACTTATGATTTTAGAGGTGTCTGTCACACCCAAGAGGAGCGGAAAGTACCTGTGATTTTGAGTGAGTGGACACAGGAGAGCTTCTGAAGAGACCTGTGGAAGCTTAGAACTTCCTAACCCGGGTCCGCGTCCACGGCGGACATGGGAATTCCATTCCCAGCAAAGCAGTATCTCTTTCCAGACACATTACTTGCATCCTCTGCCTCAGTATTGTAACGTTAGTTTTCTAAAAACATTCAATTTTAAGTGTTCCTGCTCATGTCCTTTTTTCTTTCCTAAGGACCCAACCCAGGGCGCCTGGCATGCGACTCTTGATCTCCGGGTCGTGAGTTCCAGCCTCACTGGGTGTAGACTTTACTTAAAAAAAAAAAAAAAAAGATCCAACCCAGAATACCACATTGCACAGAGCCATCAGGCACATGATTAAAAAAAATCATAATAAAGCAGCTCCGGGGAGTGTAAGATAAAGTCTCCCTCTCCAAGCCCTTGCTCGGGATTGCAGTCCTGGGTTTCCGCCGTGGCCCCACCGAGGTGATGCCTTCAGTACACGCAGGCACACACCATGAAAACGTTATTAAGAGCAAAAGGAGTTGAGAGGGGGAAAGGCTGAAATCTTACTCTACTGCGGAAGATTATAATGCCACAAGCTCTCCAGAAAAGTCAGGAAGGATAACGCGTGTTTAGTCGGTCTGCTGGGTGACGTGGCCACACCGAGTGCTGGCATCGCTCACTGCCAGGTCAAAAGCAGCGAAGACCTCCTGTGTAGGCGGCTTCATCAAACCCTCCCTGGTTCCCATGACCAGGCACCTCATTCCTCAGGGCAGGTCCCCCTGCTGGCCTGCTGGGCCCCCGCCGAGGAACGGGGCTGGGATGTAGGGCTGTGTGTGTGTGGCGGGGGGGTGTCCACACAGCCGGAGAATTCCTGTGACTCCTGGCCCTGGGCAGTTTCTGGCTCGCTGGGCTATCTCCGGCTGTTAAACCTCAAGTGGCGGCTAGCAGCCGGGAAACCTCTGCCTCCCTCGGAGGCTGGCCTTCTGGTCCTGGTAGCTCAGCTACAGCTAGGGAACTTGGGTCTGCGTGGGTCTGGTTCTATCACCGCTGCCTGCGACTGGGACCCTAATGAGCCCACTGGGCCTGAAAGACAACCAGCAAGAATGGAGGAGACAGGGGTTTTGCCCCCTCCGGAGGGTGCAGGGGAAGTGAGCAGTGAGCACAGGAGTTTCATCCGGAGGCCGCTCAGTGACTCTGACCTCTGGGCCTCGTCTGGATTGTGGAACTATCCCAGACCTGTAAGACTGGGATGAGAGTACCCGCTTCATAGAAACACATGTGTAGCATGGCCTTGCCCACAGAAGCTTCACAGTTTTGGGGCTGGGGGCGCCTGGGTGGCTCAGTGGGTTAAGTGTCTGCCTTTGGCTCAGGTCATGATCCCGGGGTCCTGGGATGGAGCCCTGTGTTGGGCTCCTGCTCAGCGGGGAGTCTGCTTCTCCCTCTGCCTCTGCCCCTCTCCCCGCTCATGCTCTCTCTCGTTCTCTGTCTCTCTCAAATAAATAAATGAAGTCTTTAAAAAAAAGGTTTTTGGGTTAATGAAAGAATGACGGAGCATAGCAAAATAGAGGGTCTGACCTCCTATCCCATATGCCTTCTGCTTGAAGACTCTGATGACCCAGCAAAGGAAGAGAGAGAGGAGGGGGGCAGGAGAGAGAGAGAGAAGGCGTGGGGGTGGAGATGGAGAAGCAGGCTATCCGGAAGAGCCTCAGGGGTTTGAAACAGTCCCTGACACCCCAGCCACCCACCAGGAGCCAATCAAGCACTGAGCTCCTGTCCCCAGCAGGCTTTCTGCTTTGACACCCAGGACGTCCTTCCAGGACGGAAACATCCAAGGCCTTCCTGGGGTGGTCTTACAGTATTCCAGGATGGACAGACAGGCAGGGACACTGCCCTGAAGGACCCTCCCGACAGAGAGCAACCTTTCACCGTCCTGGCCAAGTCGGGGCTCAGGTTCTGGGAGCAGGAAGCCCGGGGCCTCCGACTCCTCTTTTGGGCGGAGCGGTTCCCACACGGGACCCTGCGTTTCTCTCCCCATAAAGTGAATTCAGAGGCACCCAGTGCAAGGGGCGTGCAGGGAAGGTCCGGCACGGTGCCTCACGCACAGTGGATGTCTGGACTTGAAGGAGAAGGAGAAATGGGTGCCTGCGCCCTCAGACCTTACAGTCTAGGAGGGGAGGCAGAGACGCAAACCAGGGCCAGAGCACACGTCAGGACCAAACGGGAACCTGGAATGGGGCCCCCCGGGGCAGAGGCAGGCTGGCGCGGAGACTTCCCGGGGCCCCGTCCGTCAGACGGTCCGTGAGCATCGTTGGAAAGGCCCGGGCACGCGTCTGTAAACGTGGGCGCGCTTTCAGGCCCGCCGCGCCCAGGGGACCCTTGTTCCTCGGCCCGCGGGCATTCCAAAGGGTCCGCGCCTCGCTCCCGGTGAGGCCGCTGCCTCCCTCTGCCGCCCCTTAATCTGCACCCCCTTCCGATTCAGGATGTGCGGCGGCGGCTTGCGGAGGGCAGGGGCTGGGCTGTTTGACCAACCTGGTACCTGGTCTGGCACGTAGCCGGCTGGGGGGGCGGGGTAAGTAAATAGCTCCGAGGACGCGGGCAAGGGTCGTTGCCCCGGCCCGGCGCGCCGCCGAGCGGGAGGCCGGCCCGGGGATGTGGATTGCGGCCGGCGGGCCGGGCGGGCGGGGGTCGCCGGGGGTGGGCGGTGTGTGTGTGTGGGGGGTGCGGCCCAAGTTCACACCTCCCCTCCTCCCGCCCCCGGCGGCGGAAGCGGCAGTTCCCACGGCGTCTGGCGGGGCTGGGGGCGGACCGGCCCCCGGGGGGGACACGGGTCTCCGCGCGCCCGGCCCTTTGAGCGCGCCGCTCCCCTCCCTCGGCCCGCGCCCTATAACCGGGGGCCCGCGCCCCTTGGGTGGCGCACTGGCTCGCGCAGCGATGGCCGCGGCTCGGTCCCAGCAGCTCGGCTTCGGGGCCGCTCCCGCGCTGCCCGCGCCCCCGCCCGGCCCCGCCGCCGCCCCGCCGGCCCCGGGCCCCGGCTCCTTCGCCGGCTTCCTCGGCGCGGGCCCTGGGCCCGCCGCGCCGCCCCCCGCACCGCCCCGCGCGCCTCCCGCGCCCCCCGCAGGCGCGCCCGCCCCGTCGGCGTCCCAGCGCCGCAAGCGCACGTCGTTCAGCGCTGAACAGCTGCAGCTGCTGGAGCTAGTCTTCCGCCGGACCATGTACCCCGACATCCACCTGCGCGAGCGCCTGGCCGCGCTCACCCTGCTCCCCGAGTCCAGGATCCAGGTGAGCCCCGCGCTGGGCAGGGGCTGCCCCCGGGGGGTGGTGTCGGGACCCGTCGCTGGGGCGATGGGGTGGGGCGCACGCAGCCGTTTCCCTCCGTCGGCGTCCAGTACGATCGGGGCCCCTCCGAGGACGCCCGCCGGCCCCTTGAAAGGGTCAGAACGTCCTTCCCGAGCAGGAGGGTGAGAAGGAGCACTTTCACACTTTTTCTCGATCCAGGAAGGGACAGATGAGGCACGGTTGAGGCTTCCACCGGTGGGACCCCAGTCTCTGGGAGAGAGCAGGGCTGGCTGAGTCTCCGAATGGCCCCCAGCGCCCCTAAGGCCCCTCTCTTGGCGGGTATTGGGTTCGAAGGGGTGTAGCATCTCGGGGTAAAGCCTGAAGCACGTGGGGCTTCTTGTCACAGTTTGAAAAACCCGGTGCCAGGCGCGTTTATTGCAAAGGGATTGAGATCGGAATTCGGGAGCTTGCTGGTGACGAAGAGCCTGCCTTTTTGGGCATGGTCTGCGTCCACATGCAGTTTTAAGTAGGAGCCCTCACTTCACCCCTGGGAGGAGCGGGCTTGTTTTCCTGCGTCCCTGGTGGAATCCGTCCGTCGGCCCCAACCGGTGGTGCACAGGCTTCGTAAGCAGGACACCCTCGCTATTTGTTGGGAGACGGTGAGCAGAAAAATGTATTCACAGAAGTGAAGTCCGCAGAGCAAAAACCCCTTCTTGATTGATTTGACAAGGGACCACACTTCCAGAAATCGATTTTCTAAATTCTCTTGCCGCCTGTCATCTCCAAGGCTAGAAGCCTTTTATCCTCAAATGCTAAGTGCTTCTCATTCTGCCACCCCACTTTTCATCGCAGATATCCCTATTTGATGCCCAGGTAGAACAAGGCGGGTTCCCCATTTGGCACCTGGAAATGGTAAGGCAGAGAGAGCTAGGGCCTCTGAACTCCTGGCCGCCCATTGGCCCAAGTGCTTTCTGGAAAGCGGGAAGCTCCGGACAGGGAAGCAGGACACGTTGACCGGGAACTCGGGAACGGTGAACTAGCGTTAAGGACTTCAACCCAAAGCTGCTTCTCTGCCCTCTTCCAGGTGTGGTTCCAGAACCGGCGGGCCAAGTCAAGGCGGCAGAGCGGGAAAGCCTTTCAGCCCTCGGCCAGATCCCAGCTTTTCCTCCACCATGCTGTGCAGGGACCCGAAGTGAAATGTTTGAAGCCCCAGTCGCCTCTTGAAGTAGACGTGAACTGCCTGCCCGATCCCAACAGAGTTGGGGAGGGCATCCCCCACCCGAGCTGCCAGGGTCAGCGCTTCGAAGCCTACTCTCCCCTCTCTGAAGACACTGGTTCAAAGCTGGACTCGTGGGAGGAACACATCTTCTCTGCCTTTGGTAACTCTTGAGGAATCTGGGTGAGGTCAGGGTAAGCTCCGAGGAGCCCCGCGCCCCTGAAGGCGAGGACACACACATCAGAAGGCTGTCCTTTCTGGCTCCGGGGCGAGGGACACTCGCCCGTTAACTTCAGTGAAGGTGTCGCTGGCGCCCTCCCCTGTGATGCTCCCTCCCCTTCGCCTGTGAGCCTTTCACCCCTTCTCCTCCCTCCGCAGGGCCCCTCCCCGGGAGTCTCACGGTCCTTTGACCCGGGTGCCTCCAAACCCGCACCTCCAATTCCATCTGCATCCCGCTCCATGTGGCTGGTCCCCCTCTTCCCTTCCAGACTGCTTTGTCAGAACTCCCTCTCCCCTTCCCAAGAACACTGCGGCCAGGCTCACCCTCCCCTTGTGCGCCCCAGCTGCCGGCTTCTCGCCTTCCTCCAAGGCTCGTGACTTTGAACTCATCAGGACACAGTCCTCACCCTGTCCCCGAGATCGACTCCTTTTCTGTGTGTGTGGCCCATCATCTTTACACTCATTCGTCGCTCCGGTGATTCTTCATGCAGATTATTTCTAGAACCCCCTGCCTCTGGCTTCTCAGATTTTCACACATCGCTCTCTAGAAATCTGTGGTAGCCTCCTGTGGCCACCAGATGGAAAAAGCTTTGGGTGGTATACCCTTCCAACATCTCCAGCCAAAGGGGCGGCCGTGCAAATCTTCTTGAGGTCACCCGTGCACAGCGTGGTCCTGTCCCCGAGCCCCTCCTGTCCATCGTTGTTGAGGACCAAATGAATACTACTCTGTCTCAGACACTTGAGGTCCCCCTCCCCCGGAGTCTGAACCTTCCTCGAATCCTGATTTTGTACGTTTTACTCCAGTCACTCCCACATTACCCTTAGCACTTGTAATTGTACTTGGTGCAACTTGAGTGGGTTATTAAATGCTTTCCACAAATGCTCCACTGTCATTCTGTTGAAATGAGTTCGGTCCTTTGGACAGCACGTCGTGCGGCGCCATCCTCCATTGCTTGTGAAAGAACAGTCTCTGCAAATGTGGCCCTTCGCCTTTGGTCATCAGGCCGCTGTGCTGAGAGCTTGTTCAAATTAGTCGCATGACTGCTGGCTTCTGATTTCTCTCTCCCAGTGTACACATTAGAATATATGCAAATTAGGGTGTAAGTTAGCCTGAGATCCATTAAAATCCTGTCTTGATATTTTGAGGGTTTTCAAACTCCTGAGGGCCAAGGGAGACTTTGTCTACAGGGGGTGGCCATGGAGGGGGGGTCTCTGTACGCGGCGCCTTGGAGGAGGCCCGCAGGAGCCGTGGCTAAGGCCAGGACTCCTGTCCCGATGTTACTGGAACAGTCTGAGCGCCCTGGAATGTCTTTGAGATCGCACAGGCCGGTTGCCCTCATTTTCCCAGAGGTGTTATTCAAGTGACTTGCAGGTTTCAGCGTAGCAAATGCATTGCGAGAAGCAGCGGGAGACAGTTCGGGCTTTAGTGGCAGACCTGGCTACCGAACCCTTGAAAATGGTCTGAAACCAAACACAAGATGGTAAACGTTAGCTGCGGTTATTGAAGTGCTTGCGCATGCCCCGCATCCTGCTCCGCAGTCCCTTTGCATTTGGACAGGTGACCCGGACAGGTGCGAGACTACAGACATTCACACCCACAAGACTGAAAACCTGACACTCGGAACTTAGAGTCCACTAAGGGTCACACGTAGAGGTAAATCTTGCAAAGAGCTTATTAATTAATTGGATTATTGCCCTTACATTGTGTTTTCCCTAGCGAATACCTACAAAATCTATAAACATTTAAATCTTGTTATTTTTAATTTTTAAAAAAATTGTGGGACCCTCCAAGAACATTAGTCTGCACCTCCCTTGAACTCTCAAGGGACGTAACTGCTAAATGTGTTACAGGCACTGTGTGTTTAATCCTTACCATGCCGTATAAGGCAGGGGCTATTACTGTTCTAAAGAACAAGAAACTTTATGGTTCAGATCAGAAGTGACTCAAACCTGGGACTCCGTCCACCCATCTCTCCACCAGCAAATCATGCCTCCTGTATTGGCCTGGCCTTTTTAGTCAGGACCAGGACGAGTGATAATGCTTAAAGGCAACCCCCCAAAGCAGAATTTCTGCATCCAAGGGAGTAGTCTCATCTTGCAAAGCAATCATCATGGAAAACCCCATGCTGGTTCTAGTGACACTGATGTTGGTTTGAGCTCTTTTGAAACTTTTGTTTGCTCACTGCACAAACATTTGCTGCCTATGAACAGGTACTCTATCAGGGCCTGGAGATAAAATGGTGAGCCAAGCCAGGAGTAGAGAGGCCAGCAGGCAGACCCAAGAAGAAATGTAAAATTGCAAATGTGGTACGCACTGCATACAGAGATACAGGAGGACCTGGAGACGGTGTGTTGTGGTCAAGGAAAGCTTAGCTGAGAAACTGACGTGTAGGATGGTCAGGAGTCACCAAGGTGAGGAGAGGGAAGTGCACGTGCAAAGGCCCCGTGGCGGAAGAAGCAGGACGGAGAAATTGAGGATGTCAGACCATACGTTGCTGTCTGGGTCTTGTGGAAGCGTTCTGAGTTTGTTCTGAGAGCCCTAAGGCCTTAGATGGAGAGAACATGACCTATTCTGCAGTTTAAGACTATCACTGCCCGAATGTCGCAGTTGAGGGGGCAGAGTGGACACTGCAGAGAAGGTAGGGATGACCGAAGACTTCCGGACTGGCGGGGATGGCGGCCGGGCCGAGCGAGAGAGGTGGTAATGACACAGGCTCAGAAAGTGCCTGAATTTAAGAGAAAGAATTGAACAGGCAAATCTTTTGGTAGATTCTCAATGGTGGAAGCGAATCTGGTTTTGGGGGACTCAGCGAAAGTCTTTCAGAACCAAACCTACACAGCATGTAGCATTGATGGCTCTTTAGAACTTGCAAAATGTGCTGGGCCGTGGCAGCATGGTGACCCAGGTGCCCCTAGGCGGACTGTATTAAAACCAACCTCTCACTGGGTCTACAGTAAGCCAAGAACTGGTTAAGTGTTTTTTCACTGTGATTTGTACAGATGGAAAAACCCCCTCCCTTAAAGTCAGATTGGATGATATCGTAATTCAAGATGACTTGGTGATTAATCTCTATTGTTTCCCCTAAAAATATCAATCAGTGGAAGGGACATGTGGGTGGCTCAGTTGGTTGAGCATCTGCCTTCGGCTCAGGTCGTGATCCCGGGGTCCTGGGATTGAGCCCCGCATCAGGCTCCCTGCCCGGCGAGGAGCCTGCTCCTGCCTCTCCTCTCCACCCCGTGCTCCTGCTCTCTCGCTCACACACGCTCTCTCTCTAATAAATAAAATCTTAAAATATACATATATTCATATGTATATATAAAATACAGTGGAAATTACAGTTCCTTAAAACTTTTCAAACAAGGAATACTTATCAAGTGTATTAATTAAATGAGAATGGTAGGCAGTATTACTTTTCATAGATCAATTTATTTAGAATTACAAATATTAAGAATAGAGGATTTATGCATTTCTTAATTAACGTTAACAGTTTAGCTAAATATAAACTCTGCACTAAAGTTCTGCAGTGGCACAAGACCAACAAAGAATATGGAAGCATTTTTAAACTATACAAAAATTTCAAATGGAAAATAATCTCATTTTAGTTTTATAATACATTAACATATAAAAAGTCCCATTTTATGAGACATCTAAAAGAATCAAAGCCACTTCTACAGCTATATCTTAAACTCCAAATCTGAAAACAATTTTATTATATTTTGACTTTATAATATTCTATATTAAAACAGAAAATTCCAAATACACACTTTTTACAAGATTAACATTTTAGGCAGGGTTTTTCCTTTAAAAAACCAAAAAACAACAAAAAAACCCCACAACCAAATACAAACCTTTTTTTCTGCATTTCACAGCACTGGTTATTTTATTTGTTTTCCTTATAAAATCTTTTGACTTTATAAATTGTATACGGTTGGATTTTAACCAGTCATCTGGTTCAAAAGTTGTGCAAATAAACAAAATATGAAAATAGTGTGTTATCAGTCTTTTTAAATAAGTCTCCTAACAATAGCACTTTTTGTCCTGAATTGACGGGAAAAGTCATGCCAAATCCACTTGCTGAAATGTAGCATTTTGCAAGTAATTTATTTTTTTCCTGCTCCTTCATTTTCTTTCAACAGACAAACAACAAAGGTTTCTTTTATAAATTATGATAAATTAAAATAGTTATTATTATAAAATGATCTCTCGAGCCGTGTCACACTGCAAGTATCCGTCCCGCATACTTGTCAAGTCCGCATCTCCCATTGCTATTCCAGAGGCTTCCTGCACACGTGCCTGCCCATTTCTCGAGGGTGCTCTCTTCCAGAGACTGGCAGGGTGAGGAGCTAACGGAGCCTGCGCCGCAGTCCTCTGGACGGAGTTCTGGACTGCCCCCGGCAGCGCAAGGAGCCCGTGTCTGCGCATGCCCCCCCCCCCCCCCACGCAGCTGTCTGCGCGTGCTGGGCTGAATTCATGCACGTTCAAAAAAGGGTCAGCATACTCTTCCGTGAAAGCCTATTACGTTCAGTTTCAGTTTTAAAATACTTGCTTATAAACATGTAACATAAGCGATGCTACTGCAGCTGAATAATAAAAAGAAAAATAAATAGAATGCTGGTCAGCAATGCTGGTTTACGAAGCAGTATAGTATATTAAAACGCCCTAGTTGGAGATTTACATTTCCCTTGCTTTCCAGCGCTTGGGTTATCTGGTTATCTGGTGCTGGGAGCCTCGGTGCAGGGAGCGCCATGTCCTGTGCAGCGCGAACAGTGGAGGCTCCTCCTCAGTCCCTGTTGGTGTCGTTGGCTGCGAAGGCGTGCAGGTTTCCCATCTGGCTCAGGCCACTCTGAATGTGTGCAACGTGGATTTCTACGTTATTCTGAAAGCAACTGAAGAAGAAACACGGTTCACTCCCTTATTTCGCGACGTTAGGAAAATACTTGTTAACAAAGGAAGAGCCGAATTTTAGTCCAAAAAGCAGCGAAGATAATGACCCGAGGAAGGACTAAAGCCCCCATCACACCAGCTACCCCCCGGCTGCAGCCGTGACGGGAAGGGCTGCTGGAGGGGGCAAAGGAGCCGCGGGGGTGCGGGCAAGGGTGAGAGTGTCTCTCTGGGGAAACTACTCAGTGGAGCCCCCACACCAACCCAAACCCAAATACCGTAGGTCTTCGGATTCCTTTACATAAACCA